ATGTTTTGTGTGCTTCTCAAATTCAACTAGGTTTTGGAACCAAAAACAATACAAAATGATCTTCGTTGGTTAATGAATGGCACCAGGAAATGTGCAAAATATTGCGATGCAATCAATTATTATTTTGCATGTAAATCGAATCAAAAATAAAAGTCATTTGAAATGCTAGCTTCTAGCTAGGGTTGCAAGATAATTTAGGAACAAATCCTTGCTGCCGTATTGTATTTTGTTTTCTCCGCCTATCACACCCTCTGAGTATTTCTAGTTGGTACTATCCTTTCACTCCACTCAAAGTTCCAATAAGAAACTGTCAATGTTTGTTAGAAGAGATGATTTCTCGACGGTTCCGTCAACGCCAATATCAAATGTTGTAACTTTTTGACAGGACACAGAAAATACACAGGACAACATGATAACAAATTAATGGAATTGAATGAAATCGATTGTCGACTGCGTGGAATTACCACTCGTGTTGAATAACGCACGTTCATGGTATGCAGTTTCCCATAAATAAACTATTATGCTGATGTTTTGGTAAACATTCCTAAGGGAAGAACTTGCATATATTATTGAATTTGCGTTACGTATAGGCATGTGAAACGCAGATAGTATTTATTTTATTTTAAAGTAAAAAAAAAACAAAATTACATGATTGTGATTTTGTAGAAAATGAACATCGATATAGACGAAGCCTGGTAGTGATTGGCGACTGTAAAAAGATACTTTTTTAATTAGTTTGATATCCATTTTATATCACACACGAAGATTTAAACAAAATGCCAACACTGCATGCGTGAAGGTGCATTGTGAGTCAGTCGGTCTAAATGACGTACGTTCTCCCTCCTCTTGGGTAGGGGAAGAATATTGAGAAAGTGAAATGAAAATCAGTTTTCAACAATACTCGTCATCAAACCATCGTCATCAATTTTATCTTTCAATAATATTGTCAGTATGTCAATTTATTGTCAATATATTGACCTGTGTAACAAACGCTTTAGTGTATTGTCATTAATGTTGTCAATATTTATATATTGATTATATTGTAAGGAAAATTGACAATACGATGTTTGTCAATATATTGACATATGTAATGGGCGCTATTGATCAAAATCAGTATATCCAATGCCTGCCATATTCACTACAATCTGGTTGGTCAACCGCGTATGCACACTTAGATTTTTTTTACAGTACACTGTAATTTTTTACCGAATATGGAACAGCTGAACATTCGGTAATCTATTCAGTAATTTTTTATTTACGATCCGTTCAGTAAATTTTCTTCCTTTGTGAGCTGTCAAAATTTGCTGAACTGGACTGTAAATTTTGCTGAATGATCGGTAAAGTTTGCAATAGCGTTCAGTATAATATTTACCGAAATTACTGTACTTTGTTTTCCTTAACGAATGATAAAAAATAATTTTAAATGGGTTCTTTAAGGGTATTGAGGTAAATGCATATTCGTAATCTGCATTGAAAATGGAACCCAAACCCAAAATTTCATCAATTTTGGTACACGGGAACTATTTTAAATAAGTACGATTACATTTGTAAAAATCACCTTATTTACGCCCCTCGGTGTCACTTTGTATGGGAGCGAGCTGTCAGTTTGTTAGTTTAGTGTCAAACAGTGAAGTTATTATTTTGCTTTAAATCTTGATTTAAAAATCGAGATGAAAGTGTGTGGAATCGAAAAAAATATCGCTGTGCTCAGAAAACGTAGCTCTTTCAGATGATATATAAAAACCGATATATTTTTCAAAATTAAAGAACCCAATTGATTAATTCATTATTTCTTTCTTTAAATAAACGAAAAGATTCATTTGGCTCATACACATTTATTTTTGTTTTTGTATTTTCATCGTGAGTCCGCTCAAAAATTATATTCTCTCTCTGTACACCACACACAAACTCGCTTGTTTCCTGTTGAGGAGGACATTAGGTCGCTTAATGTCCATGGCACCTGAAAGCCCAGTAATGAAAAAGAATTATATTTTCAGCGAATGGATTGTAGTAAAAAAATAAAGTACTTACGTTTAACAACGGAGCACAGAAGAAAACTCATCTTAGAAATAGCAGCACAAGTTGGGTTTGATATTATGAAGTTTACAAATGTTCAGTAATTTTTACAAAAATCTAGTACAGAAGTTACTGTTTGTTTTTGTAAAATATTCATTCGTCACAATTTTTACAGTATTGCGGAATTTCAGCCATTTACAGTTTTAATCAGTAATTTTTAATTACAGTTTATGGTAAATTTCAGTAAAAAAAGGAAATTCAGCAATTTTGATTGCGGAAAATTGGTAAAACAATATTTTTTACAAAGCTTTCGGTTAAAATTGTATTTTACAGAACCAATCCAGCAAAAAAGTACCGAACTAGATTTATGAAATTTGGTGTCTGGTAAAACCGTACGTTGTAAAATAAAACCGTAGTGGTCGACCAATTGGATTGCAGTGTACAAGGCAGGCATAAGAGATGTATGTTTAAATACCTATGTTATCTAATATGCAGGTTTTGTTCAGTTATTTTATTTTCCATGTCTTCAGCACTAATCAATAGCAAACAACAAATTGAAAGAGAAGTAAATTAAAGAATAACGTTTCGATCGGTAAGCAAAATTACTCTGAACCAACAATCACCTTCTCCGCTTCTTCTGTTTCATCTTCCTGTATCTCCTCTATCCTTAGGGCATCTTTAGCGGTGGTCTGTTCTAGATTTAAATTTATGTCACTTTTGGACCAGTCAAACTAAAATAGACCAAGGTAAAATATAAAAAATGTGAACCTTCACACTGGTTGGTCTATTTTTAACCGCTCTATTGTAGCCATTTTGTATCTTGTTCAGTACTCGTTTTTATCTAACTATACTCGACTCGGTGGATAATCTTAAAACTACGTGCATTCAAACCGCAATTTTTCAACAAAAGAACGATAATTGAAATCCAGAACGCTCCGAACAATAGAATCTCGTAACCGGTGAAAGGCCGGTCTAGTTTTCCTGCAACATCATTAAGTTTCTGCTGGGACTCGAGTGTTCAGTTGAACAACATTGTCAACGCCACCCTCCAGAAGTACTAGTCACCGGTGTTGGATTATGCTTTTCACGTGAGTTATATCGTCTTTTAATTATTATTCTTTTCTATCTAATAGGAAATAATCTTTCCAGTTCTCTGCCCGTATGGTCAGCACTTGTAATCTGAACACCCGCTTCGAGAGCATCCTTAGAAGTGTACCGAATATTTGCCCATTGAATCCTGGTCGGCGGAGACAAGCCAGACAAATTTTGGTTAATTCGGGATAAGGACACGGAAGTGTGCTTCATGAGAAATAATTTAATTATTAACGTTAGCGACCTTCGAACGGATGGTGTTTGTGTGGGTTTTGTGAAATATGTGACATCGTCCCCCCATCGTTCCAGATTCGAGACATTAAATGGTTTTGACGAACCAATTCCCCACTGCAGCATTCGAATTCCGGGCATACTTTTCATCGAAGAGAAAGAAATTTCTACATATACACCATACGGAGACATTTCTTTCCCTTCGATGAAATTTATGCCCGGAATTCAGCTGCAGGTTTGCTAAATCTCGATGAACATTTCAAAAGGTCCTATGTACTTTGATCGATTCTCTTCATCGACTTTCTCTTTCGATAACCACGCCCACATTTCGTGCTATTTTTGCCACAAAGTTTTATAGCAGAAGTTACTATTTTGCGCTTAGAACATTGAACACAGCAGGGAATGCTTTTGATGTTGAGTTATTAGCGACAGAGAAAGTCGATTAAGAGAATCGATCAATGAAGATAGGACGTTTTGAAATGTTTATCTAGAAATAATCTGGCAAGCCTGATCTCCCTGAGGCTGTGTTCCATTTGGTGAATTTTACTTAAATTTGACAGATGGAAAATTTTCAAATAAACCTGCTATTCCAGCAGACTTATATCTGACAGACAAGGAATAAATTTTGACAGACGCTTTCTCGAAAATCGGCCGATCAACAACAGAGGGATTTTCGAACATCTTAATTTATTTTCGAAGTGTCAAATCTAAGTGAAAATTTTCCAAATGGAACACAGCCTGAGAGGATCCCCTACTACATTTGACAGATATTTTGTTTTCATTTTGTTTTGCCTTGCCGTCGTGCTGAATCTTGCGCTAGAAAATCGATGTTCCGGATGAGAAGGCTCTGTCGAGAGCTCTGTATATTGATCAAAAAGGCTTCGAAGATTTTATTTGACTTTTCTTGGGCCATAGTTTGTGTTTCTGCTGTTTATCGGGTTTCGTATACTTTTATTTTATTTATTTATTACGAATATCAGCATCCACAGGCTCAAGGTGGATTGAACCACAATCGACGGAAAGTTCGAGTAATAATCAATTAGTGCAGCTATATGGCGAATTAGTCCGTGAATATGTGGAGGAACAACATCAAAAGCTCGAGGGTTCTGAACCAGTTGTTCGACATGAACGAGTAGCTCACCTGTCAACTGTTGGCGACGATGGACTGGCCAATAAGCTGAAGAAATTACAGAGGGATTGGAAAAAGCCAACATGCTGTGTATGCTGAATTTGAGTATCAATCAATAAGTATATATTGCGTTTTGATCGTATCTAACATTAAGTTTTTGTTTCAGGGTTGACCGCGTTCTTCGAAAGCTGTTCATCAAGCTAACATTTCTATTCATTGTGCTTTCCAACAACAAACTGGAAATGCTTTCGCCTGGAACACGAATTGTTTAGGCTCTAATTCTGGGCAACAATCACCAGGATCTGTTTCATCTTTGTCAGTTACCTTCACTTCAGAATCTAGCAGCATATACGCAATATTCAACGGAGATGGATTTCACGCATAACGTATTCTCCAAAATTACGGTCGTACTCTACAACTTGACCAACCTTAAGCGATTCAGTCTGAATGATGACGTTATTTAAGAAATTAATTCACATCGCACGGTGCTTCAACCTACAAAATATCAGAAAGCTCCAGTTCCTTCGATGACCTAAGTTAAGGGGGTATTCCCGATCTTTTTTTTCAAAAAATCAAAATTTTTTTTTTCACGTTTTTTTGTACTTTAGACTATATACTTTCATCCCCCCAAGCCGTTTTCCGATCAGCGAATTCGGTGTCCAGGCATAGCTGACTAATGGTAAGAACCCCCAAATGGTTTTAACTAAAGTCAAAACTTTAAACGCGTTTTTCTCGAAACCACATTTTTTTTATCGGGCGAAGATTTTTCTCAGAAACTATAAGAGATATTGACTTGAATCTTTGCGCATTTTGTTCCTTATTAAATTCTTTGGAGCTTCTCCCACTTTCAGCCAAAAATATTAACATTTAACATTGTTTGAAGCACCTTAAAGCTGCAAAAAAGCGGCCTAAAAATCGCCTGTTTTTTCATATGGCCGCCATTTTGTTAATTTGCAAGATTTTTTGCTGCCAACGGGAGAAGCTCCAGAGAATCTTATGCAGATTATAATTTCATCACGAAATCTGTTTCAGATGAAGCCGTTCCAGAGAAAAGTCTTCGCCCGTCCAGGCGTTTGCGGCGAACAGGGGTCTGTTTGCCGCCATTTTGTGACGTCAATAATGTCTTTTTTTATGTCGAAAAAAATTTATTTGTAAACTTTAATGTTCAATAAACAAGAATCCCAAAGAGTTAGGCGCATTACTATTCATTTTCCTTGAAAAAAAATTAATTGAAAAACAGGCCGAAAAAAGGCAAAAGATTGGGAATACCCCCTTAACAATAACCAACTGAACTTCGCAGATATCCCATTAGAAGCTTTGAGCAACTAGGTGCACTCAATGCATTGGAAGTATTTTCCTCTTCTAACAAAGGCCTCCCGAATAGAAATTGTAATGTAGGAAACATCAGCAGACATCTTCAATACATTAAATTTTAACGTATATTGCTGTACCCTTAATGTATTCAGACTTCAGTGTGACGTCCAAGTACATAAAAATACATTAGCCTCAAACGTTACATCAGAATCAAACGTCTTGACGATGTAAAATTTGACATCAGAATACATCCAACGACAACAGAACCTAACGTTACATTAGAATCAAACTTCATCACGATGTAATATGTTGCACGCATAAAACATCAGAATACATCCAATGACAACAGAACCTTACGTTACATTAGAATCAAACTTCATTACGATGTAATTTGTTGCACGCATAAAACATCAGAATACATCCAATGACAACAGAACCTAACGTTACATTAGAATCAAACTTCATCACGATGTAATTTGTTGCACGCATAAAACATCAGAATACATCCAATGACAACAGAACCTAACGTTACATTAGAATCAAACTTCATCACGATGTAATTTGTTGCACGCATAAAACATCAGAATACATCCAATGACAACAGAACCTAACGTTACATTAGAATCAAACTTCATTACGATGTAATTTGTTGCACGCATAAAACATCAGAATACATCCAATGACATCAGAACCTAACGTTACATCAGAATCAAACTTCATCACGATGTAATTTGTTGCACGCATAAAACATCAGAATACATCAAATGACAACAGAACCAAACCACAGACAAACAGACATAACACATTGAGTATTTCTCACTGTAAAACATCGTCGTTAAAACATTACCGCCATCTGTTGAGTACACTGTGGTGGGCACTACGCTGAACAGATGGCGGTAGTGTTTAAACGTCAGACGCAAGGGGATTGACTATGCGCGCCACTAGTGGCGGTACTACCAACTACGATGCTTTTAAATTGTCCGTTAAATGCTTGTTCGATGAACAACTTGCGAGTGTTATGTCTGTTTGTCTGTGACCAAACGTTACATTAGAATCAAACTTCATCACGATGTAAATTGTTGCACGCATAAAACATTAGAATACATCATATGACACAACAATAAAAAGTGGCTTGCAGTGCAGTGATGCCTCCTATATGCATAGTTTTGTGACATTATCAATTGCAAATAAAATTGAGCTCTTTAGAAGAGTGGAAACGCTAATAAAAGTGCACTTAGACGTTGTATCGTCTTGACGCCTTCTGCGCACTTATTCTTCATTCACCAAGGAATACCGTGCCGATTCAAATTTCGGACACTTAAACTCGAATTTCGGACACTTTTAAAAGTTGATTATCTCGGTCGAATATGATCCACATGTCTTGTAAATTTTAAATTTTTTTGACTAGTGCCCTCCACGATCATCTAACATTATTACTTTGTTTCTAACTGGATGTAATATTTAATTAAAAATGAAAGTGTCCGAAATTTGAATCGTCCGAAATTTGAATCGGAACGGTATGTGCGATGAAGACACAACAACAATTTAACGTAAAACCGCACTTTTATTAGTGTTTCCGCATTCATAATCTCATAAATGTGCCCAATGCGCGATCCTCGACGCAATCATATAAAATAGCACATTGCGATTACAAGGTAGAGCTTACCACCATTAACTCTTGCACGACTGACATAGCCTCAAATCACTGAAAGAAGTTTTGGCATGCCCTGTGGGCAATGTTTATTTGTATGCACAGCAAAAAAAAATGTAATATCGATCAACGTAATTCAAGCTGATGTATGAAATAATGATGTAATAGCAAAAAGCAGATACAATATTACATCAATGGATGTAATTTTGTTTGCAAAATCGATGTACATCGTACAATGTGATATTACACAACCGATGGATTGACCTGGTTGCAGCAGTTTCGATGTAATATTCAACAACCTTTTTTGCTGTGTGTAAAACAATGCCCTGGTGACGTTACAGTGCAAGAGTTAATTAGTGTTTTAATTGATTATTATCGTTTCAATTGAAAACCGATTTTACTCTTGTTCTGTACGTTAAACATAACGTCGGCCATAGTGTGCTGTACACGCTAACTTGAAAGTACCCATTAATGGTTGAAAAAGACCCATTTTGAAGAAAAGTGGCTTGACTCATTAAATGAGTAAATTTTTTACCCATTAATGAGTATCTGTTACCCATTAATGAGTAATTGTTAATCATTAATGGGTAACAGATACTCATTAATGGGTAAAATTGTTTAATCATCAATGAGTTAAACCACTTTTCATCAAAATGGGTCTTTTTTTACTCATTAATGAGTACTTTCAAGTTAGCGTGTATACCGCATCCGTGTACACGGTTAGAAAAAAGTACCCAAAAGTAAGTTCTTTTCACTCATCTCGGCACTATAGTGCAGGAACCCAAAAATAGGTAAAGCGGGTCAAAGTAGTTTTCATTTACTTGTGTGCAATTCGTATGGAATTTTCCACTAGCTTTCAACGCAAAAGTAAGTTAGTTGTACCCAACAGTAGGTAAATATTATTATACTCAACGTTGGGTTCCCACACGTTACTACCCCTGTTGGGTGGTTTTGCTCCTCCGTTTTTGACAACATTAGAAGGAGAAAAGGAGACAAACTAGTCAAAAGTAGGTAAAAGTGAACTGGCCGTTGGGTACTTTTTTTCTTACCGTGTACGAATACAGCACCCCACACGAATAAAGCCCTACAGTAAAAGTATGGACGACTGACACCACAAAACTGAAAAAAGCTGTTCCAATCCCGGGACGGGACGTAACAATCGAGCTTCTCACTCTTCTTAATGTTTTTGAAGAATGCCCTTCGGAAAGTTGCGCGTGGTGTTTGAAGGAGTAGACCAATGATGACAGGAATGTAAAATATTTTTCTATTTTAAATTTGGATTTTATCCGGAGTTTCTACCGCAGTCTAGCAGCTTGAACATCATTTTTGCTCAACACAATAAAATTAACCATAAACAAACAACAATATCCATAGCTTAAAACACGCAGTGCCCTAAATTTTTCAACTCACCTTTCGTAAATATAAACAAATAACAACCCTAATATAAATAACCATAAACGAACGATAACCCAAATAATTGAACTTTTCCACTAATGGTTTGAAAGATACCCAGAACACGTCGTTAAGCAAAATAACCATAACAATTTTATTAGGGAACGCCATTGACGTCAACATTGATTCCGGCATCACTGCCAGCCAGATTGATGCGATCCCTCTATCCTTTTTATTCCACGATTGCTACTGTCAAATCGACCAATCAGAAACTGGCTCAGGTTTGACAGAAAATTGGCTCAAAATCGCTACCCGATTGTCAAGTCCCGTCCCAGTTCCAATCGAGCAAAGCGGTGCATTTTGACGGTTCAATTGGAATAACTTTTGACAGACGTCCATACTTTTACTGTACACTCAAATTAAACGACTGATATTTTTCAAGTGCCTAAAACACATAGATTTTAAGCACAGAAGAAAATTAACATTTTATGTGCGACTTATAAAAAATATGTGTGGCACTTTTAAGTAACATTATGCATTGATTGAATTTGAAGTGCAATGATATAGAAAACAAAACAATATGCGCATAAAAATTAAAATCAAAACATAAATAAAACACGGGATCAGCACAACACAAAAATAGCGCCAATGCAAGATAACAGTTCGCTTTCGCACATAGTTTTGCAGAAATTGAACCTGCCAGTTGAGTTACTTGAACTGTTCACAGGTAAGTGGTAATTGATTTTTTTTGTATGCTCATAAATACATATACTTTTGGTTGTAGAATTAAACTACACCACCAACAGACTCAAAACGATAAAAAAGAACGAACTCATCGACGACCTACAAGGACCCGGATGGCTTTGTGACTGGGACGCGTTATTCGAACGCAAGAAGTTAAACGTAAGTATTAAATAAATAATATTTTCATTTTCGAATACGCAGTTCTCATCATCAAATATGTTATGTACCTATTACAGGGATTGGATTTGATTTCATTCACAACGGTAGAAGTAGTTTTGGAAGAGTGGCTGTGCAGTGAGGACCACGACGTCAACGTTTCAAAGCAACTGGAGGATTCTTTGGAAACATCGTTCTACTCTGAGCAAATTAGAAGCCTAAGGGTACGGCCAGGGTAGACGCGATTCGCGACGCGACGCGACCAATTCAAAAGAATCTTATTATTTATTATTATTCCTTGCGTGAGTCGCATCGCGTCGCGTCGCGTGTCGCGTCTACCCTGGCCGTGGCCTAACAGTGTATGCGTTCCCGATAGCAGACCAACTGGTTTATCAGATCCTAATGCAGTAAGCGCTGGTTCATACTCTGACGTACTATCCGTGAAGCGCGCCACCAACGAAAAAAAAAAAACAATTCCTTTCCCACGAACGCAACGAAAGCTTTCTTTGGTCATCGTGAGCTGGAATTGCTGTTGCGCAGTTCTTTGACTAGGGAAACGTTGCTGATCAGAGCGCTAAAAGGTCCACCCTTCGAGAGAAGCCAGAAGGAATTATCTGGAATAATTACCTGAGTAATTACCGAACACCTATATACAATCTATACAATACAAAGAATCTATACAATTCAAAAGTAGTTTTGGTTTAATTATAGATTATTGGTGAAATTATTTTAATTCAATTATTATAGAGCTCCCCTGCTATGAAACTCACAATAATCTTCATTAATCTCACAAATACAAATCATTTGCAGTTTGTATTCGCAATCACTAGATTGTCATTAAAATTGAAAAGAACTGCTAATAAAAACAATCTTGATAGAATCAACAAGATTTCATAAGCGCCACACATACTTTTCATGTGCTAAAGTAGCTGGTCAAATTTTAAGTGCCGTGCATATAAATATACCCGAAAAAAAAATTACAGTGAAATTTTCAGTGGAAACAATGCTCTAACATTAATATTTATTGTCGACAATAAAAATGATTGTTATAATGTTGTACTCTTCCGAAAACGGCAAAACTGGTACCTAGCTGTACAATGAATGTACATAATAAAATGTTGTTACAATGATTTTTATCGTATTTTTCATTTATTTTATTGTTAACATGATTCGATCATGAACAATAATGAACAACTCTATTACAATAAAAATTGTTGTTACATTAAATATTGGTGTATTTTCATTGTGGGTTACTTCACGAACAATAAAAATAAATCTGATTGAAGCATGCAGACTATGAGAGGGTCAGCAACACTGCCAATGTAATTAAGATAGGCGCTGCTCGTATGGCTCTGGCTTTGACAGTTCGTTTGGCTCAAAACCAGGCAGTCCGCGTCCGCTCATATCTTATCCTAGACCCTCTCTAAAGCTTAATGGAGACCTTTTCCGTGCAGTCAATAATCATACAATAATAATAAAAAATTCCACCACTTGAAGATGTCAGGAAGGAACTCTCAGGTGGAAGCATATTTCATGGGTGATTCTCTCCAGTCGAATGCATTAACTTATCAACGACGCTCAACCACCAAGGAGACGTGACCTAGGGATATCGAGCGCAGGGGAGTTGGCCTGCATTTCTCACAAGTTCCGGATCGAATCTCGATCCATAACCAGTAAAAAAAGGACCACCCGTAACAGACATACCACCACCCCCTTCCCGGGGCAATGTTTTATTTTTTCGATTTATTTTTAAAGTCGATAAAGTAGATCTGTCAAGCCAACACATACACTCTAAAGTACACTGTTATTTTTTTTTAATCAATAAATTCGCCAACCAACAGTAAAATAACAATAATATATAATGTTATTGAAAAAAAAATGTATGGGAAAATCACGAAAATTTCATTGTTAAGATACTTAACAACCCCCCTTTTTTATTGTAAATTTTCCATTTACCATGAAATTTATTGTTTTGTACAACATAAATCAAGGTAAATTTATTGTAGACGTAACAATATAAATCATTGTTAAGACAATAATTTTCGTCTTATTGTTACATTGTTTTTTAATGTATTTTTGTTGTTATTTTTTTTCGGGTAGGGCTTTACACACGAATTGCCGGCGACAAAGTGACGTCATTTGACATTGGGCGACTTAAAGACTGACGTTTTTAAACTGGTGTGTTTTTTTTTGTCGTGCGCTCAGCCATCTTGTCTGGTTTGTTTATAAACAAACTAGACAAGATGGCTGAGTACACGGAGCGCACCGCAAATTCCTTCACCCGAGCCGCGAAGGAAATTAGCAACTTTAACAGTAAGTATTCAAATATTTGTTATATTTAGTGTTATTATTTGTAATTTAAAAAATTGATGCGTTGCATCAGTTATCTCATCCGGATTTCTCAAGCGGATCAATTTTGATGTAATTATTTTCAAAAATTGATCCGGTTGAGATAAGCATCCTTGCTGATGCAACGCATCAACAAGGATGTTTAAATCATCCGGATTCCTCCAGCGGATCAATTTTGAAAAATAATTACAAATTCTAATAATTGGATCTGTTCCCAAAATTTTGATTATTTTGTAATTGTTATTTTTTTCAGCCGGCTGCTTCCAATAATTCCGGAGGTGTTCGGAAATTGAATAGAGGTAAGCTGAGGTAAGTATTGAACAGTTTGTTATTAAGTGTAATTTTTTTTTTAAATTGATCCGCTGGAGGAATCTGACTGAGTTAAGCATCCTTATTGTAAGGATGTTTAACTCATCAGGATTCCTCCAGCGGATCAATTTTGAAAAATAATTACAAATTCTAACAAACATCCAAAATTTTGATTAATTTGTATTTTTTTTTCAGCCGGCTGCTTCCAATAATTCCGGATTAAGGACGTGTACGGAAATTGAATAGAGGTAGGTGTTAAACAGTTTGTTATTAAGTGTAATTATTTTTAAAAATTGATCCGCTGGAGGAATCTGACTGAGTTAAGCATCCTTACTGATGCAACGCATCAATAAGGATGTTTAACTCATCCGGATTCCTCCAGCGGATCAATTTTGATGTAACTTTTTTCCAAAAATTGATCCGCTGGAGGAATCCGACGGATTTCATTGACTGAGGCAAAGCATCAACAAGGATGATTAACTCATCCGGATTCCTCCAACGGATCAATTTTGATGTTACTATTTTCCAAAATTGATCCGCTGGAGGAATCCGGCTGAGTTAAGCATCCTTGCTGATGCAACGCATCAACAAGGATGTTTAACTCATCCGGATTCCTCCAGCGGATCAATTTTGAAAAATAATTACAAATTCTAACAAACAGATCCAAAATTTTGATTATTTTGTAATTGTTTTTTTTTTCAGCCGGCTGCTTCCAATAATTCCGGAGGTGTTCGGGAATAGAGGTAAGTATTGAACAATTTGTTATTAAGTGTAATTATTTTTTTAAATTGATCCGCTGGAGGAATCTGGCTGAGTTAAGCATCCTTATTGTAAGGATGTTTAACTCATCCGGATTCCTCCAGCGGATCAATTTTGATGTATTTTTTTTTTCCAAAAATTGATCCGCTGGAGGAATCCGGCGGATTTAATTGACTGATGCAAAGCATCAACAAGGATGATTAACTCATCCGGATTCCTCCAACGGATCAATTTTGATGTAACTATTTTCCAAAATTGATCCGCAGGAGGAATCCGGCTGAGTTAAGCATCCTTACTGATGCAACGCATTCCGATGCCGGATCCCGATGTTTATGTTTATGTTTATGTTTATGTTTAAGTTAAAGTTTTATTATAGTTAAGTAAAATTTAAAGTTAAGTTAAATTAAGTATGTAACAACTAAATTTAAGTTAAAATTATGTTAAAATAAAAGTTATGTTGATGGTAAGATAAACTTATGTTAAAGTAAAAGTTAAAATTTAGTTAAAGTTACGTTAAAGGTAAGTTAGAGTTAAGTTAAGGTTATGTTTAAGTTAAGTTAAAGTTATGTTTAAGTTAAGATAAAGTAAAGTTAAAGTTATGTGTAAGATAAAGTTAAGTTAAAGTTATGTTGAAGTTAAGTTAACGTTAAGTTAAAGTTAAGTAAAATTTAAGTTAATGTTAAGTTAACGGTAAGTTAAAATTATGTTAAGTAGAAGTTTATTCAAATTTAGGTATAAGTTATGTTAACGTTAAATTTAAATTAAATTTATGTTAAAGTTAAGTTAAAGTTATGATAATGTTAAGTTATCATTAATTTAAAATTAAAGTTGTGTTAAAGTTAAAGTTATGTTCAAGTTAAGTTAAAGTTAAGTTAAAGTTAAAGTTATCTTAAAGATAAGTTAAAGTTAATTTAAAGTTATGTTATGTTAAAGTTAATGTTAAGTTTAAGCTATGTGAATGCGAAGTTAAAATTAAGTTAGAGTTATGTTTATGCTTAAGTTAAGTTAAGCTTCAGTTAATATTAGGTTAAAGTTATGTTAAATTTAAGTTAAAATTACGTTGAGGTTATGTTAAAGTTTAGTTAGAGCTAAAGTTAAGTTAAAGATATGTTAAGTATATGTTAGGTTAAAGTTAAGTTAAATTTATGTTAAATTTAAGTTAAAATTTCAAGTTAAGTAAATATTAAGTTAAGGTTATGTTGCAGTTTAGTTAAAGTTAAGTTAAAGTTAGGTTAAAGTTATGTTAAATTTAAAGTTATGATAATGTTAAGTTATAATTAATTTAAAATTAAAGTAACGTTCAAGTTAAGTTAAAATTGAGTTAAAGTTAAGCACAATTTAAGTTCATGTTTAGTTCAATTATGTTAAGTTAAGGTTTATTCAAACTAAAGTATAAGTTATGTTAAAATTAAAGTTATTATAAAGTTAAAGTTAAGTTGATTTTATGATAATGTTAACTTTTTTTTTAATCATTCATTAAGTATAAAAGTGATGTTAAAGTAAAAGTTATTTTGAAGTTAAAGTTAAAGTTATGTTAAAGTTAAAGTTATGTTAAAGTTAAAGTTATGTTAAAGTTAAAGTTATGTTAAAGTAAAAGTTATGTTAAAGTTAAGCTAAAATTAAATGAGAGCTAAAATTAAGATAAGAGTTTGTTAAAATAAAGTTCAAGTTATGTTAAAGTTAAAGTTAAGTTATAATTAAGTTTAACTTATGTTAAGGTAGAGTTAAAGTTAAGTTAAAGTTTTGTGAAATTTATGTTAAAGTAAGTTTAAAGTTAAGTTAAAGTTATGTAAGAGAAAAAGTTATGTTATAGTTATTTTAAATGAAAGATATGTTAAACTTAAGTTAAAGTTATGTTAAAGTTAATTTAAAGGTAATTTAAAGGTAAGTGAAAGTTTTGTTAGAGGTAAGTTAAAGTTATGTTAAAGTAATTTTGAAGTTAAAGTTATGTTAAACTTAAGTTAAAGTTGTGTTATACGTAAGTTAATGCTATCTTAAAGTTAAAGTTATGCTAAAAATAAATTAAATTTATGTTAAATTTGGTAAAATTTAGGTTTTGCTAAAATTATGTTCAAGTAAAGTTAACGTTAAGTTTAAGTCAATTTAAAGTTAAAGTAAAGTTTAAGTTATTTTTAAGTTAAAGTTAAGTTTAGATTATTTTAGAGTTAAAGTTAAGTTTAAGTTATTTTAAAGTTTAAGTTAAGTTAAAGTTATGCTGAAGGTAAGTTAAAGTTAAGTTGAAGTTATGTTAAAGGTATGTTAAAGTAATTTTAAAGCTAAAGTTATGTTAAAATTAAGTTAAAGTTGTGTTATAGGTAAGTTAAAGCTATCTTAAAATTAAAGTTATGCTAAAAAGAAATTAAATTTATGTTAGATTTGGTAAAATTTAGGTTAAAGTTTTGCTAAAGTTAGGTTCAAGTAAAGTTTAGGTTAAGTTAAAGTTATTTTAAAGTTAAAGTTAAGTTTTAGTTATTTTAAATTTAAAGTTAAGTTCAAGTTATTTTATAGTAAAGTTAAGTTAAATTAATGTTAAAGATAAGTTAAAGTTATGTTAAAGTTGTGTCAAAGTTAAGTTAAAGTAATTTTAAAGTTAAAGTTATGTTAAAGCTTAGTTAATGTTATGTTAAACTTTATTTAAAGTTATCCCGCATAAACAATAACCATTAGAGGAGCCTAACCACCAATTCGGGATATCATCTCAACTTTATGTGGTATGGTCGTACCATCTATGAAATTGTTAGTGTATGGTACCCGTTTATTAGGGATGTTATAGGTAAGGTAAAGTTAAGCAAAAAATAAATTAAATTTATGTTATATTTGATTAAATTTAAGTTAAAGTTTTGCTAATATTATGTTAAAGTAAAGTTAAAGTTAAGTTTAAGTTATTGTTAAGTTAAAGTTATTTTAAAGTTAAAGTTAAGTTTAAGTTATTTTAAAGTTAATTTTTTGTTAAAGTTAAGTTTAAGTTATTTTAAAGTTAAAGTTATGTTAAACTAAAGTTAAAGTTCTGTGATAGGTAAGTTAAAGTTAAGTTGAAGTTAAATTAACGTTAAGTTAAAGTTACGTTAAAGTTAAGTTAACGTTATGTTATGTTATGTTAAGTATAAGTTAACTTAAAGTTAAGTTTAAGTTAAAGTTAAAGTTAAAATAATTTTGAAGTTAACGTAATGTTCAAGGTAAAGTTAGGTGAAAGCTAAGTTAAAATTAAGTTAAAGTTATGTCAAAATTAAATTAGAGTTATGTTTATGCTTAAGTTAAGTTAAAGTTCAGTTAATGTTAGGATAAAGATATGTTGAATTTAAGTTAAAATTACGTAAAGGTTATGTTAAAGTTTAATTAAAGTTAAGTTAGAGATATGTTAAGTTTATGTTAGGTTAAGTTCAAGTTATGTTAATGTTAAAGTTATTTTAAATTTAAGATTAAATTTAAAGTTAAGTTATAGTTCAGTTAATGTTAGGTTAAAGTTATGTTAAATTTAAGTCAAAATTAATTTAAGGTTTTGTTAAACTTTAGTTCAAGTTAAGTTAAAGTTATGTTAATGATAAGTTAAAGTTATTATAAAGTTTAAGTTAAGTTAAAGATCTGTTTAGTTCATGTTAGGTTATAGTTAAGTTCAAGTTATGTTAATGGTAAACTTATTTTAAATTTAAGATAAAATTTAAAGTTAATTAAAGTTAAGTTAATGTTAGGTTAAAGTTCTGTTAATTTTAAGTTAAAATTAATTTAAGGTTATGTTAAAGTTTAGTTCAAGTTAAGTTAAAGTTATGTTAAAGTTAAGTTAAAGTTATTATAAAGTTAAAGTCAAGTTAAAGATGTGTTAAGTTAATATTACATTAAAGTTAAATTAAAGTTATGTTAAATTTAAGTTAAAATTTAGTTAAGGTTGTGTTAAAGTTAAGTTAAAATTTGGTTAAAGTTATGTTAAAGTTAAAAATAAGTTAAAGTTTGTTAAAGTTAAGTTAAAGTAAAGTTAAAATTACGTTAGAGTGAAGTTAAAATTAAAATGATTTTAAAATTAAAGTAATGTTCAAGGTTAAGCTATGCGAAAGCTAAGTTAAAATTAAGTTAAAGTTATGTCAAAATTATGTGAGAGTTATATTAATGCTAAAGTTAATTTAAAGTTAAGTTAATGTTAGGTTAAAGTTATGTTAAAGTTAAGTTAAAATTAAATTAATGTTATGTTAAAGTTAAGTAAAAAAAAAAGGTTAAGTTTAGTTAAAGAGAAGTTATAGTTAAGTTAAAGATGAGTTAAAGTTAAGGTTAAGTTATGATAAAGTTAAATTAAAGTTAAGTTAAGATTAAGTTAAAGATAAGTTAAAGTTAAGTTAACGCTAAGTTAAAGTTAAGTTAAAGTTAATGCTAAGTTAAGTTAAGTTAACGTTAACGTTATCTTAAAGTTATGTTACAGATAAGTTAAAGTTATGTTATGTTATGCTCAAGTTAAGTTAAAGTTGAAGTAATGTTCAAGGTAAAGTTATGTGAAAGCTAAGTTAAAATTAAGTTAAAGTTATGTTAAAATTAATTTAGAGTTATGTTAATGCTTAAGTTAAGTTAAAGTTCAGTTAATGTTAGATTAAAGTTATGTCAAATTTAAGTTAAAATTACGTTAAGGTTATGTTAAAGTTTAGTTAAATTTATGTTAAAGCTAAAGTGAAGTTAAAGATATGGTAAGTTGATGTTAGGTTAAAGTTATGTTAAAATTTAAATTATAATAAATTTCAGCTAAAATTAAGTTAAGGTTATGTTAAAGTTTAGTTAAAGTTAAGTAAAAGTTATGTTAAATTTTCCTAAAAATCTGCAAATTACTTAGACGATCTTCGAACTTCCCTGAAGTTCTGTGTACACAGAAAAAAAAGTTGTTGAATATTACATCCAAACTGCTGCAACCAGGTCAATCCATCGGTTTTGTAATATAACGTTGTACGATGTACATCGATTTTGCGAACAAAATTACATCCATTGATGTAATATTGTATCTGCTTTTTGCTATTACATCATTATTTCATACATCAGCTTAAATTACATTGATCGATATTACATTTTTCTTTGCTGTGTACTCCCAGAAGGTCTGTGAATTTCTCTGAAGATCTTCAAACTACCCTGAAGCATTAAAAATTTCTCTAAAAGTCTACAAAATTTTCCTGAATTTCTGCAATTTTTTCTGAAGCAATAAAAATTTATCTGAAGACCTCCTTTAAGTTCTGCAAATTTCTCTGAGGATCAACAAACTTCCCTGAAATTCAGTATTTTTCCCTGACGTTCTGCCAATTTGCCTAAAGCTCTGTGAACTGCCCTGAAGTACTGAAAATAACTCTTAGATGTACGAGGATCTTTAAATAAATTTATGTGATCTTCCCTGAAGTTCTGTGAGTTTATCTAAAGTTCTGCGAACTTCTCTGAAATTCTGTTCTATAAATTTCCCTTAGGAACTAAAAAATTATCTTTAAATTTACGAACATCACTGTAGTTCTGTTAATTTCTCTGAAGATCTTCAAACTTCCCTGAAGATCTTCAAACTTCCCTGAAGATCTGTGAACATCCATAAAGTAGTGATTATTTCTTGAAACGACGACAAACATTACTGTAGTGCTGTAAATTACTCAGAAGATCTACGAACTTTCCCTGATTTTCTTTTGATTTCTCTAAAGATTTCAGTTTTTTAAAACTTCTCTGAAGTTTTTTTTTTTTTTAATTTCCCTAAAGTTCTACTAGTTTCTCTGAAGATCTACGACCTTCGGTGTAGTAAGATCTTCATAACAATTTCCGATTATTCTACGTTCTGAAGAAATTTTCAAACGACTTCAATCCGATTTTTTATCAGATGTTGGTCCTCAGAATAATTCCTGATCAACTTGACCTCTTCGAAAAATATCTCAAGATTTTAATTTCTAATCCTTATCAACCTGACCACTTCGAATATTTTCTAAATTACTTTATTTGAATTTCTGATCAGTTGTAGGTCTTCAAAACAATTCCTGCTTATTTTGATCTCTTGTAGTAATATCCGAAAAGTTTCAATTGATTTATTGATCAGTTGTAGGTTCTCAGAATAATACCTGATCAATTTAAACTATTCAAAGAATATCAAAAGGACATCGTTTGAATTTCTGTTCAGTTGTAGGTCTTCAGAATAATTATTAACTTAAATTAAATTAAATCTGGTATTTTTCTGATGTTTATAGAACTACCCTGAAGTTCTAGTAGTTCTTCTAACTAACCTTAAAATGTACATTTACCGCTATACCGCTATGCCGCTGTCCTGGTGTTATTGGGTTCGGCCCTTTACCTGGCTCGTAGACATTTCAAAGACAACAATGTCTGCATGATGTTTATACATCGGTTCAAACTATGCGTATTGATAAGTTTTCTGAAAAGATTTGGATCTAGGTGCATAGTTTGCTTTGATAGTCTTTCACAGTTTCTCTAGCATTCTCTAGTCTTAGCTCATCTAAATATTTACTGCAAAATCCCTGGATTAATCTTCAATTTGGCTTTGTTTTCTTGTTTATTTTCTATCGTTCTATGTTCTGCAACCGAGTGGCAACCACTTACGCCAGGGAGGCAATTGAACACCTAGACCTGGACTCATCAACTCAAGGGCCAGGATCCACGGCTGTGCTTCTTTTCGAAGGAAGGCATGACACCACCAAAGCAACCAAGGAAGTCATCAATCACCACCAACTGACGAGTTTCGTTTGTGGTTCGACACATGGACGGAGCATTTGTGTTTTGCTAAATTTTGCAAATTATTGGGGAATTTCCCTAAACTTTCACGCGGCCACCAGTTTTCACTCTTCCACAGGCCTTAAGGGTAACCCACATTAGATCTGCTTGCGTTGCGTTGTCGTACATTTTATAGTTAGACAATATATTTAGCTGTCACTTTGCTGCATCGCGCCAGATCCGGATCTAATGTGGGTGGCCCTGTAGATTTGGAAACTTGATTATGTAAACACTAGGCATCTTTTTCTGGTAGTTCGTTCAAAAATGATACAACAATCGTCAAGCTCGCTGTAACGTCACCTAGTGCCTCGTCACCTACAAATTGGCGCCTATGTCAGTGGTCTAATAACTCTTAGCGCGCTAATGGCATAGTTCCCCTGCCGCATAGAGAGTTGCCACAATGACATTAGGTTAGCTAAGGTCAGTTAACTGACTGGTGGGAAACGGGAGCTTACGCAATGGCTATTCTGTATGCATTTAAGAGATAGTCTACCAGAATGGATGATTTTTTTTTGTACAATTTTATGTTTTCTGATTGTGCAAAACATGAGAATTAACTTTTCCAATGCTTTCAATTGTACAAAGCATTAGTGCTAGAAACATGATCTTGTAAACACTACACACCTTAACTGTTAGTTTGATTAAAAAATGCTGCAACAATCGTCAAGCTCGCTGTAATGTCACCAAGTGCCTCGTCACCTACAAATTGGCGCCTATGTCAGTGGTCTAATAACTCTTAGCGCGCTAATGGCATAGTTCCCCTGCCGCATAGAGAGTTGCCGCAATGACATTAGGTTAGCTAAGGTCAGTTAACTGACTGGTGGGAAACGGGAGCTTCAGCATTGACAGTTATGTACGCATTTTTATGATGTTATCTAACAACAATGGTGTGTAGTGTTTACACGATTATGTTACTAATTCTAATGTGTTGTAAATATAATTGAAAGCATTTGAAAAGTAAGATTCTAGTGTTTGTACTTCTTAAAACATAAGTAAACATCTACACTTTAAAACATTCAAACAACGTTTACTTTAAACGTTTTGTACATCTGAAAACATCAGAGAACAACAAACAGGAAGTACAATTGAAAACATCCGAACAACGTTTAGTTCTAACGTTGTGTACATCCGAAAACATCAAAAAAAACGTTTGGTTCTAGCATCGGGAAACATCTACATAAGAAAACATTAGAATACATTTACATATAAAAACATCCGAACAACGTTTAGTTCTAACGTTTTTTTCATCCGAAAACATCCAAAAACGTTTGGTTCTAACATCAGGAAACTTCTACATTAAAAAACATCAGAAAACATTTACATATAAAAACATTTAAACAACGTTTAGTTCTAACGTTTTTTACATCCGAGAACATCCGAAAACGTTTGGTTCTAACATCGGGAAACATCTACATTAGAAAACATCAGAAAACGTTTACATATAAAAACATCCGAACAACGTTTAGTTCTAACGTAATGTACATCAGAAAACATCCTTAAAACGTTTGGTTCTAATGTCAAGAGATTGAAATTTTTGACGTCAGACCGACATTAGAATGGCAAAATTTTGTTCCAAAATTTCTGATGTATACACCATGTTACGTTGCTTAAATACAACTAAATCATAATGTTTTCTAATGTTCGGGCTGTCAATAAACCACGTAGCCACCTTAAGGGGGCGAGAGGAGGAAGGTGGGTGGCGAGTGTCTACGGGGTATACATACAAATAAGTGAATCTTTATATGGACGACTGCTTGTCAACTGAATACAAAATCGAATTGGCGTTGACGGCGACTCTGTAGCTCTTTACTCCTGTGAGAAAATCCATAAGCAAACGTCAGACTGTGCGTGAAACATGGCGGACTTTGTACTATCCTTTCACTCCACCGAAAATTCCCATAAGAAACTGTCTATATTTGCTGAAAAAGCAAATTTTTCGACGGTGCTGTCAACGCCAATATGTTACATGATTGCTGCTGGATTTGAGAGAAAAAATCCAAATCTTTTGATGCCATCGAAGTCCTTGGAAGTTCGAAGCCCGTTGACGATCATACCTATCATACAAGCAGTTCACACTTAGGGGAAGGAGGGGCATAGTGAGCATTCTATACATTGGCTTTGGGTTTCTAGTTGTTCGAAACAAATTTATTGGTAGTAGTATTACAATATTGAACCTACTTCCAATAATTTTCAAACAACTAGAAACCCAAAGTAAAAGTACAGGATGCTCACTATGCCCCTCTTATCCTAATTCGTTTCGTTCGACTTCCATTTTGCTAGGTTTACGATGACGAAAATCAAAAATAATTATCTGGCTAGTAGGGTCTGATACATTTGGCATAACAACGTTTTGCATAACGGACACTTGGCATGATAGTTACGAACCAAAGATTTTTGAAATTAAAAGTTAATTTACAAAAAAAGATTACTCCTTCAATTCATTGCTGCTCCTTCTTTCACATAGAATTGTAATTGCGAAAATATGTCCTTCTTCAAATAATACGGAAAGAGCTCTGGCTGATATCGCTGCAGCAGATTTTTTCCATCTTTCAAACATGAGCAGTTCTTCCGAGGCTTTTAATTACCATCGAAGAACGTGAATATTGTGGAAGAACGAGCAGCAATTAAAAGAGGGAATAATCATAGATTGTAAATTGACTCTCCTTAGGTACTGAAAGAACACATTTAACATTATACAATGGATTTCGACGAATTAATTGATGATGCGATCAACATGTCAGCCGCGCTATTCGATGATGACGACGATGAAGTTATTATCGGTTTGATGGCAACAGGTATCTATGTATTTAATTTGATTGTAATCAACAAATTAACGCTTTTCCACCCAAAGTGTTTTGGCATAATAAGGCAGGGAACGGCTTCAACCCCTCGATACCCTATTGCAAGCACGGGGTTTTTCTAAAGGAACATTATCAAAAATCAATTCAAAAGATGCTTTATGATGTGAATACTGGTAATATAAATGAGCGTTGTATTTTATTGTTTACCGCGTGCTTGGAATAGAGTGTCGGGGGTGCCTAAGGCATTCCTTGCCTTACGAAAATTAAACTCTTTACTATGTCGCCTGTTTTCAATTGCAGAACAGCTATCTGGGGCACGTGGTTCGCAACCGGGTAGAAGCCCCAATATTAACAAATTTTCGAGAAGGTCATCAACGTTTAATGGATGATTATTTCAACAATAACTCTACATATAACGAGAAACATTTCCTCCGTCGGTTCCGCATGCCGAAAACAATGTTCTTGCGCATCATGTCCGACCTTGAGGCACATGACGATTTTTTTAAATTGAGATGCGATGCTGCTGGAAAGTTAGGTTTGAGTCCATTGCAGAAATACACAGCTGCACTGCGGATGCTAGCATACGGGGCATCTGCAGGATCCCTGGACGAAAACGTACGTATCGGTGAATCAACAGCTCTTTTCACACTGAGAAAATTTTGTACCGGAGTTATAGAAGTTTACGGGCCAGAATACCTTCGACCGCCAACTACCCAAGAAGTAAACAAGTTACTGGAGGAAAATTCCAAGCGTGGGTTTCCAGGAATGATAGCATCAATTGATTGTATGCACTGGGCATGGAAAAACTGTCCAGTTGCATTACATGGTCAATATAAAGGAAAAGAAGGCAAACCCACCATCGTGCTAGAGGTTTGTGCTTCACAGGACACTTATGTGTGGCATTGTTTTTTTGGGTGCCCTGGAAGTTGCAATGACATCAACATTCTTGATCGTTCGCCGCTTATCAACGACATTGTACAGGTAAATCTCCTTATTCTACGCCGCTAGTGAAGTGAGGTGACTCGTTGTCATTAGTGAGATGAAAATTGTCACCTCGCTTGAGGTGACTATCCTTTGATATGCACGGAGACTCATCTCACCCGAGGTGATAATTTTCACTTCACTATCAAGTCCGTCACCTCACCTCCCACGCCACGCAGATTTCACTCTTCATCAGGGGAATGACTTTCTAAATACATAATCGTTTTCTCTATTTTGTTTTAGCATAACATTCTTGGAGGACAATGGAGCTTGGCTGGGAAGGAATATGTTATGGGATATCTTCTAGCCGATGGTATTTACCCGGACTGGACGGTATTCATGAAAACCATTTCACAACCGCAAACTTCTAAAGAGAAGCACTATGCCAAGGTTCAGGAAAGTTTGCGAAAAGACGTGGAACGCTGGTGAATTTTGGTGAATCCATGCCGGCTGTGAGATGCGGAAAGCATGAGTAATGTGATTACGACATGCATAATACTGCATAACATGCGAATTCGCGCCAGAAGCAGTCATGCTGAACTGCAGAACGACTTCGAAAATTTAGACACCCAAGAATCGCTTCAGGAAAATGCTGGTTTCAGCCGAATCCAAAGCGAAAGAACCTTTTCGGAAGCATGCGAGGATCGTATGGGTATACGAAATGCGTTAATTCACTACGAAATGAGAAACGATTTAATAGATCATCTATGGATGACGCGGGGTGATAATGTTGAATAATAATAATAATAATAATAATGGGTATATGTATATATGTGCGAGCGTGCGCGCTTGTGTGTGTGCATGTGTGCATGTGTGTGTGTCTGTGTGTGTCTGTGTGTGTGTGTGTGTGTGTGTGTGTGTGTGTGTGTGTGTGTGTGTGTGTGTGTGTGTGTGTGTGTGTGTGTGTGTGTGTGTGTGTGTGTGTGTGTGTGTGTCTGTGTGTGTGTGTGTCTGTGTGTGTGTGTGTGTGTGTGTGTGTGTGTGTGTGTGTGTGTGTGTGTGTGTGTGTGTGTGTGTGTGTGTGTGTGTGTGTGTGTGTGTGTGTGTGTGTGTGTGTGTGTGTGTGTGTGTGTGTGTGTGTGTGTGTGTGTGTGTGTGTGTGTGTGTGTGTGTTCCACAGATTTTAGTTTGAGAATAAAGGTAATAAATATGTAACAAATAAAATTAATGATACTTTTCCTCACTGATTAATTCATTACTTCTAGTTGATCCTCTTCCTGGATACGATAAGGAGACGACATTGTCTCCTCAATAATCCCATTGCTTTCTTCTTCAATTGTTGTTTCCAAATTGGTCATGGACAACAACAACTGCTCTTTTTGTAGTATTAGCAGCTGCTGCGACACGTACACCCCTATTCTGTATTTCGTTTCGAACGAAATTCTCATACAAAAAAATATTTTTTTGTATGAGAATTTCGTTCGAAACGAAATACAGAATAGGGGTGGTAGTCTAATCCGTCAAGTGATGCTGTCATAATCCGGACGTCGGTTGCCCTGTGGACGGCTTTCGTATGTTTCTCAAGAAGTTCATTCTTCTTTCGCATTTCTATTAGAACATCTCCCCATGGAACTTCCTTCTGGTTCTGCATTTTAGCTCTTTTTTGTCCAATTGGCCTTGGGCTAGGGATACCCGTATGAGCAGTGGATGGTCCAGGAACATCCATTTCATCAGCAGGTGACTCATTGCTCATTTCGCCTAAAATTTAATTGAAATCGTTTATAAATAAATGTTAGGACGGTAATTTGTAATTCTTGGGTTTCCCGGAATTCTGGAACAGGAAAGCCCTAGAAGTGTTGAAGAAGAATATCAAGGAATACAGACGCATATGTTTAGCCCTTATATTCATGATTGTTTTGTATTTTTCTACACCATGTTATTGACTCTCCCAGTCCCACACTATAATGACAGAGTCACGTGATCCGCAAGATAAGGGAGTTTCAGTGTTGGGATATATCTGCTTTTGTAAACATTGCATTTGATCGTCGATTTAGTGTAACTGGTAGCACACCAACACATGCTAACACTACCATCAGAAAATCAGGAAATTTGCCCCTACCTGTTAGTAATGTTAGTATGCTTGGGCGAGCTACCAATTACGCCAAACCGGCGATCAAATGCATCGTTTGCAAAAGAAGATACGTCTCTTCGAAAAAGTAATCGAGATATGAATAAAAATGAAGAGTCTATTTAAGGAATATACTCACTGTTCTTGGAGGTGTCCTTGAGCGGATGCTTTCTTTTTAAAAGTTGGCGAGTATCCTCGAGATTTTTGAATTTCGGTTCATCTTTAAGTATGTCATAGCACGATTCGATCCGGAAGCTCTTGCTGTTTGTTTCCTTCATGAACATGTCTCGTGCTTTTTGTGCTCTATCAGATGTTGAGGTCCCACTAGCGTTAAGTCTCAGTACAAAGTTAACACAACCAGCATATTTTGAAACCTGGTGGCTAATTGTACTGAACCGCTGCCTCAATCCATCCGGGGGCCGAGCACAGAAAGATGGCATTATTGAATCTGCATTTACTTTTATGGATTTCCAGAATTCAGATCGATGCTGGTCCGTTCCTTTAATTGGATCCTTTGAGATAAGCAACCATGACCTGCACAGTTGCTCATCTTCCTCACAGGTCCAATTTTTACCGCGCTGTGAAGTTTGACTAATTTCTGTAAAGATAAAAATGAATTAAAACAATCGATCGATTCCCGGTTCCTTCCTGTGCAAAATCCACTTCCAAAATTATATAAAAATATCACACGCGAACGCGAAAAAATAAACCGCAAAACCGCTGCTGGGACGAGATTGCGTGTATTTGGGTTTTTACCACGATTAGGATCGTTTTCGTAGCCGGAATCTGCACTCTGGATATTTTCAAAGCTCCCTAATTTTTTCAGGAACACAACACCGAGAGCAAAACAAAACAAAGAGTGCCTATCGTCACTTCATACAGCTGTCAAACTGGTTTGGAACGGTGGTTGGCTTGGTCCAAAATCAGTCGAAATTAGACCGAGAATTATACGGGTTTCAAAAAATATATTTTGAAACTAGCATAAAATAAAATTTAGAACACCGCTGCTAGGGATAGCTTTGGATCTGTTTCAAAAATTTAGACCAATCCAGTCAATTGGACCACCGCTAAAGATGCCCTTATATATGCCGAGATATATGCAAAGTTTGTTTTGTCCTGAGTCTGCACTACACGGCAAATGGGAACGACCCAAGTTTGAGTTTAGTTCACTCATAAATCGCAGAAAGTGCAGGAACTCAGTTTTGAGTTAATTTCCCTCATGTTTTCCAGGTTTTTTCAGGAAATTTTTTCTGAATATGAGAAAAGTAAAGATTGGATTCTCTGGATTTTCGTAAATTTTCCTAATTTTAGGGGAGAAAATTTACCGTCGAAACAAAAATATTTGAGGCAAATTTAAACGTAAACTCAGTTTGTTCTGGCCACAAACATAAACTAGGTTGATTTCAAACGTATTCTATGTTTGAATCCATTGATAATAATGTTTAAAACAAAAATAATGTTACGTTTATTTTAAAAATATTCGTGATGAAAATAAACGTGAATATTTTTGATTTATTTGAAAACTATATGCGATCAAAAATTAATATATTTATTTTAAACATGCTTTTCATGATTAAAATAAACAAACATAGTTTGAAATTATTTTAGCATTTGAATCAGGGGGAACGACACTTCAGGATTATCCCATTTTTACCCAAACCGCTCATATAATTTTCAACGTGCACAAAATTTCAATCCATCCTATCTATTCTTTCTATTCCCAACTTATCCCTTCTACATGCACACAAATTGTCAAGCAAGCCGTGCAGTTTCTCGAAGTTTTCAGATCGACCGCGAAGCACTCTGCCATACTCACTGTCAGTTTACAACACTCTCCACAACAAACACCAGGTATGTCAGCTGACCATGCCGGTAAAAAATCGGTGCGAAAACTAAAAAAAGATGACGGACCATTCGTCTATAATCGGTCTTGGGGGCAAAAAACCGAGCAAAAAACATCAAGTGCATCACGGCGGAGACGGCAACGCACATCCATTTCCCGGACTCAAACCGATCGAATTCGACGGATAAGAGCCCGGGTCTCTGTGTGTTGTAGCATGGAAGTTACCGAACAGGCGCGAAGCAACTGTTGATTTCGTTCGAACTGCTGATTCTAGCCCCGGAAAAGCCTTACCAATGAAACCCCCTACGACAAGCAGGTGAAAAAGGAATTCAGGTCGTTTTTTCCACTCGGCCCAAGTTTTACTCGTCTCTGCTGCTGGTCAAGGGTTCGGATAAGAAAGAGCTAATGGTGAAGTAAGACACCCACCGGGTGATGTATTTCTGTGCGAGAATATTGCGGATCAAATTCCCATCCAAATACAGCTGGGAATATTAACTGGAACCTTGTAATCCATCGCCATCACCCGTTCATCCTACTGTGCAGTTTCGACCTTTTCGGTGCGGAACCGTTTTCTGCACTTGAGCTGTGAGCTTTGATTATTATAGTTGGGCGGTGTCCCGAGCGGTTTCATTAATTCCGTTTCGCTAAAAATCAATATGTTTGACCCCCCCCCCCCTTTGGAACAAAACGGTACACTGAAAATGACCCCCCTCTATTTATTACGCAACGCTCTATAAACCCCCCTCCCTCGCCTTTTCATTTAATTAATGTATGATTTCGTTTTGTATTTTTTTATTTTTAGGTAATTAATTATATTATTAATATTCAAAACAAAAACAAAAGATCAGCGTACCATCGTGTACCTCCTTTTCAAAAGTTCAAGATAGCAAAAATCTCAATTTATAAAATTAAAACAGATCCATTTTGTAAAGCAAGATTTAGTGATGATAGCCTTCGTTGTCGTTGCCAAAAGCGTCAAAAAAGACCTGTATTTTCAAACTTTACATCAAGAAACGAAAAAAAAAACAAAATGTTCTCTTTTTTACGCAACGCAAAGCTTTAATACTCCTCCCCTATGTATAATTCGTAACGATATAGGTGACTCCCTCTCTCCCTATAAGCGTTACGTAATTCATGGACGCTTCATTGCAGCAAATTTTTCTTCTTTTTACGCCTATCCTCTTCGCGTTCAGACTCGTATCCCTCTGAAATTTTTTAACATCTCTCACATCACATCAATTGCCTGATCTATTCCCATCTATTTTTTCTATCCCTGCTCAATTTTCGTCAACACGACACACTCAAAAAAATCCCATCAATTATGTTTTTCCCCGAAAATCCCAAGTAATTACTAGACTGAAAAAATACATCCAAATGAGTGTCGTTCCCCCTGATTTGAATGCTGAATAAATCAAAATAAAATGGATAGCAAATAAATGGAAATTCCTGTGATTATGGAAAGTCTGTGGATGTTTGGATCCGGGAGGCCGTCGGGGTGGGTGTCCGATCCGATCCAGTTTAGTAAAACCGGTGAAATTTTGTGATATTAGCGTCATTTTGTCGTTTCTGACGCTGGTCCTCATACCGGCCTCTTTCTAAGTTTAGTGTTCGGGGATGATCTGTTTTTCTTTCGATGTCGGGTGGGGGGTGAGGATGATATGGGGATCGGCATCAGAAACTGTGAAGTACAAACTATTCACTGGGTAAATCCCAAGAGTTAAATTGTTGGTTGAACTTAACCGTGTATATTTTGACAAATAAATTCAGTCTCTACTTGTTAATCGTATGTACCACACGTGTTTATTTTCGCTCTCGTCGTGTATCACA